ATTTACATGACAAAGTTAAGCTAAATCAAGAATCAAGGAATGTCATTCGGCATCAATGCTGGGTGTCGAGCATCACTAGTCACAGTCAGTGGGTCCCGCATTTGGGGCTCACATGTAAGCACTTGTGAGTTCTAGCCCCGAGTACAATAACGAGAATGCCATTACCTTTGGGATATCCCAAACATTTTTTCTGCCACTCAGAGCCTCAACCTTCGGAATACGGGTGTCCCTGTCTTTCAAAAGCTTCAACTGCTCCTTGACATCTTTGTCTCTCTCCAAACCAGCATGAACTGCTATCAATCTACAGTGCTTGATCCCATCCTCGGTCTCTATGCAGATATCATCCTAGATAAAATATGCATATCATCAGGACCCACTACTCTTCAACAAATATTTTCAATTCTTATAGTTCTCGTCTACTTGCATTCGGCTTCGCACATTTTGTGACAAAACAGAACAGGAAGGTGGGAAATTTTCTTCCCACGCAATCTGTACGAGAAATCTATTTAAGGGATTATCTGTGTTACTAAAGTAAACAAGAAAACAAGTCTGACCTCTTCGTGGACCCAAACCATATCGGCAAGAAACTTCCTGTGTTCATCGGGAACAGCCTTAACCAAATCTGTCCACAAAATTGTACGTTGAATTCAGTATTTGACACAAAATATTCATAGCGCCAAAATAATGATGAAAAGCACAAACTGTGGTTGAACTAAACTAGATCAGCAGAAAAAAAGTTAAAATCTTTGTATTTTGATGAAGATTCTCAAAAACCAAGAAGCCAGATTACAACTTCCATTTGAATAGCTGAAGGTGATAGAAATGAACACAAAACCTTAATGAGAGTAACCAGTGCTTGCAGAACACATTGAATGACCCATACAAACCAAAAAACTAAGAACCACACGCATCTGAGACAGAGTAGTAGCAGAAAAACACAACCTTTATTACACGTGGAAGAGCAAAAGAAAAGCATGAAAAGAATCACAGAAATAGGGGATAGTTTTTAAATAGGATATTTTACACATTTGCCTCATGAACTTGTATGGTTTTAGCAATTTGGCTCCTAAACTTTTAATTTTGGCAAGTTACCCCCTCAACTTGTAAACTTGTTGCAATATGTCCCATTTTGACAATAATTGTGTTAAATTAGTGTCCAAAAAGCACGTTCGACGAAAAATTTCAACATCTCGATTCAAATGTGACATAAATCTTTTAATTTCTCAATTTTGAATCTTTTAAATCTAACAAAAAATTTGAGCAAATTTAGTAAAATGGGGCATATTACAACATTTTTACAAGTTTGGGCGGTTCATTGCCAAAATTAAGAGTTTAGGAAGCAATTTGCTAAATTACGATAAGTTTAGGGGGCAATTGTGCTAAAAACCCTTT